GCGATTCGTTCCTACACTCAACGAAGCGCATGAGTCACACCTGATGCTGCAGGTGGACCAGATATCGGTGCGCCGTATCGAGAGCATGCACAGAGCACTAAATGGTGAATCACATATAAGTCGGCTCACTCATTGACCGAAATGGTTGCGTTGTTTATTACTATAGCTGGTATAGTTAAGGATATTCCACTTCGATAAAAACTTTGAAAAATGAAAACAAATGCATCTGACACATGTATGTTTACATTGCCAAGAATAGGCAAGAACTCTGGCTAACCTGTTTTGACACTTTATCAGTTGCACAGAAACCCTTATTTGAAAACTTTGACGCTTATTTTCAAGTATATACGGATGCACGCGTACTCAGTGACAGCCAAGCTGCCTGTGCAGCTTTCTTCTGCCCTTCGACTAACGTCAGACGGGCGTTTCAAATAGCGCACTCATGTTCATCATTTCTAAAACTACAAGTGACTGATGTTGCCCTAAAATATGATCAAAAGGAATTAGAAACATCGAAGGTTGTCACACTTGCAGACTCCCTTGCTGTCCTTTGCAGACTGTTGAGAAACGATTTAGATGACTCTATTACATGTATTATCGCAAAATCGTCCCCCTAAAATTATTCCTCGTGGGTGTCCCTCATTTGCCGGCGCATATCTTCGCATGTGGGTATTGCTGGGAACAGACGAACAAAACGTAAATGAAAGAAAAATAGGAGGAAAGGGAAGAAGAAAGAAAACAAAACAAATAACGTAGACGTAAACACAAATGAATAGTCTCGAGGGAAAATGTCTATAAGCGTGAGGCCATGTCGGCTTTTTGTTGAACTTAGCGGCACTCGCTGTGCCCGGGGACACCGAGTAACACATCCTCCAGCGGGATCGCCATCATCAAGGGTCGTGCACTGACTCCTGGTTGAGCTAACTGCTCGCTCGCTCGCTCAAATCAATCAATCAATCAATCAATCAATCAATCAATCAATCAATCAATCAATCAATCAATCAATCAATCAATCAATCAATCAATCAATCAATCAATCAATCAATTTGGGGTGCCCAGGAACAACCATAAGGTTTTTGTGCAGGCACACACAAAACTAATATGATAAAAATAAACAATACCATAAAGTCTACAGAAAAAATAAAATAAAGATGGCGAAAAGGCACCGACAAAAACAAATCAGTGCAAAATAGAAAGAATAAAAGACAAGATGAGAATCATGGAATGGCAGTGAAAAATAAAGGGAAATATACACTACTCTGTAGAAGGATAATAATAATAATAATAATAATAATAATAATAATAATAATAATAATAATAATAATAATAATAATAATAATAATAATAATAATAATAATTGCTTGAGTCTAACCAACTATTCTGTCGTAGATGTCACGTACCATGATCGAGGTGGGGCTGGGAACAAGTTACGGCACCGTAGGAAAAAAAAAATAAAACGCAGCGTACGATTTTTATCTCATTCCATGTACAGCACCTCCACGCTTCAGCTGCGATCCCCTCTCCCGCATTCTTTCCTGATCTGCTTCTAGGAGGCAATTTTCCGATTCGTCGCATGAAAACCAAACACGCGATCGGTTCTTTTTTTTTCCCGAGGAGATCTCATCGTTGCTTCGGCGAACACAAACAATTTGCCGTGGCGATGGTGTGTCGTCCTTGGTGTACATTAACTCATGCAAACACGGGGAAACCAAACAAAGGGATAACACCAGGCAACCACCCTTCCTCGACGGCGTACACATCAAGTGATCGCGTCGAAGGAAGGGTGAGAACGATGAAGGAAAAAAAGGAACGAGGACATGCGAGGGAAGATTTTGCGTGTGTGTGCTGTACTTGTCTCTGTGTAGGCGTAAGCCCATCAACTGCAGAAGTGGATGTCGTGCGCGCCATTTTGGCCCTTCCCGGCCCGAGACCGCGCGTTCGTGAAGTACGTAGAGTGATGAACTGCGTGTCGGCCGTCATTTCGTTTGCCGCTTCCGCGACATCGGATGAGAAGCTTCCCGGGAATCCTTGGAGCTGGATGCACAGTTATAATAATATCTTGGGTTCTGCGCAATGATACCTCAATACGGTTATGGGTCTCGGCGTGGTGGAGGACTACGGAAATTTTGTACATCTGGTGTTATTTAACGCGCACTGACGTCGGACTAGCAGGTTAGGCAAGCGGGTTAGGGGGGGACAGAAGGTTAGGGGGGCAGGCGATGAGATTCAGAAGTTTGCGGGTATAAATTGCCAGCAGCAAGCACTGGACCGAGTTAACTGGCAGAACATGGGAGAGGCCTTTGTCCTGCATTGGACGTAGTCAGGCTGATGATGATGATGATGATGATGATGATATCGGACAGTAGAGGTACTGAGCATTGTCCTGCTTTGAAATGCGACCACCACAGCCGGGATCAAATCCGTGACCTTTGGGCCAGCAAGGGAGCACCATAACAACTAGGTGGATGTTGTATACGCATCAGTAACAGCGTGATTACCCTTCTGTGGGGGACAAGCAAAAGCAGCTTCACGCCCACTCGCCTTTTTCGTGTACTATATCTGTTTCTCAAAACTAGCGAAAGATCCTTAGAACATGGCTCACGGTTCTGAGTTTTGTATGTATATAGTTACAGTTGCTACATGAAATTGAAAATAAAAGAAAAGAAATCAAGAAGCCATAGACAACCCCTCCTGGCCTTCTCGGCAGGCCTAGGGGACAGCTGCCTCCTGGCCTCCATTTACACATTGCAAATTTAGCAAACTATGCATGTTGTCAGATTCATTGCCATGTTCACGATAGCACTCCTTAAGCAGGAAGAAAAATTATACACAACCCTGATAAAGCTCGCATATCGCATTTCAACAGAAGGTCCATCGGGATGCGAAGCTCTATAGAAATGCAACACTTGAATAATATTCCCGTGAGTAATATACTGTTACCGCGCAATGTACAAACTAACCTCTTATTGAAATGAAAGCGTAAGCATTTTTTGATTGCGACAAAACAAAGACATCTTGAAGGCCCCAGCGAGCAACGAATGGGCGCGGGCCAGCGTGAGGGCGACGTTGGCGCAGGAAAACTCGCACGCACACATTCCAGGGATATCGCAGCACCACCGCCTTTTCTCGACACATATATAGAGCAGGGCGAGCGTCATCCGATCGAAACTCCGCGGCGTAGTCCTTCTCGGTTTCGCCCGTCGTCTGCTATACAGTTTCTCAACTTCGAGTCCAGAAAGTATAGCGTGCGACCAGACTGGATCGAGTTCGAAAGAAAGCATGTCTGCAAGCAGGGCGGGGCAAATGGGGAGGGCGGGGGTCTCGCAGACGCCTGCAGAAATCTGCTTTCCTAATATTCTCTCTCTCTCTCGTGGGAGCGCACCCTCAACGCTTCTCTCGCCGATATTTGCAGGAGTTCACCATAAATAATCGAGTCAGTGACATTGCACGTTAGTGCACTGCCGTTTCCGAGTTATTACACGGGTCAGAAAAAGGGCTAGCAGCGACCGCGGCAGCACGTGGGGGTCTAGAACGAGAGCCGCGCATATTTTCGTATTGGTTATACAGCGGCCAACGATCATTACTCACAGAAGGCGCGCCGCCCCGCGAGGCCATCAGTAAATGACTCGGCCGGATATCTTGGCGGTCGCTCTATATATCACATGCCTCCAAACAATGACACGCGGTGCGCTTGTCAGCGCATTGGTGACACACTATGTGGCGCCAGTGACTGCACAGCGTTTAGGGGAGAGGGTGTGGTACCATCGCAGCAATCTCTTTGCCCTTGTGTCCATAGAGAAAGAATGAAAGATCTTTTTTTCCCCTCTAAGCTATGTCCGCCTCGGTTCACCGGTCTTCGAGCCACCGCGTTGTGTTTCGTTATTCCGCAAATGCGGATTTGCTTTTACTTTCGTGTTAAGGGTTCATCACAAGGATCATTACACCATTAATATCGCTCGAACGACGAGGATTGATGATAAGTTCCAGCGGCCGTGGACAATCGTGCGTAACGAAAATTCGAAGCAAGAGAGATCGTCGGCAGGTCCTTATCTCAACAGATACTCGTACTTGTACAGGAAACGTGTTGCTGTGCTTGGCAGTTTTCACCGAGAGCTACGGAAACAAAGAAGAAACGTTTTACGTGAGGGTAGCAAAAAAGCTAAACACATGGGATGTCCGGAAGAGAAGTGTAGGTGTTCACGGAACTAAAATTTCTTCAAGAAAATATTTGAGTTTCTTACAACGTGTCTTTCTTCCCTTGGCACCCATGCGGTGAATAGACTATTTATTGACCCTCTGCCAAAGCTTAACATATGAGGTCAACAATGACATATCCAGTTTTATTGATGAACAAAACTCACTCGCTGCAAAAAAAGAAATAGAGAGAGAGAGAGAGCACTAGTATACATTGATATTTCCAAGCCTTACAGACGTGTAATATGAACAAAAAAAAAACATAATTGTATCACTCGCATCCTAATCGTAAGAGACACACTCAACTTCACTGCAAAATATGTGGGCTATGGTGGTATATAGTGCTGACAAAATACGCGAAAACGCGATAACACGGACAGCATGGACGGCGCCAGGATTTTCTTATGAATGGGAGAGGACATCTACGACAAGTGAGTTCCTCCAGGAGAACAGGGAGGTAGGTAACTTACGCATTGTGTTTTGAATATGCTTGCTCTTGAGGCGGGGAGGGGGGACGGGAGCAGCCTTTTTCTGGCACTGCCCCAGACGGGGACTAACTCACCAGCTTTGGTGAACACCGAGGAACCACAGACGTGGTCCAGCTTAATATTTTCTGCTTGAAAATGATGTTCTGTTGTAGATTTTGTTTTTTTTTTCATACTTTTTCTCTTCTAGCATCGCCTCCATCCACTGGTTGTTCTGCCGGAACTGCACACTTGTCTTTACACAAGTGGGTACACAATTGTCTTTACAAAGCCGACGCCGAACATAAATATATAAAAAATACAGCTCCATATCGTCACAAAGCGTCAAAGGGTTTTATCACAGGTGGTCAGGTCGTCACAGGAGACTGTTGAGTGGTACAGGTACAGTCACGTCCTTCGTTGGCGAATTCCTTAGCGCCCGAAAGAAGGATGGTATGCGCGAAAACCAGGACAGGACCCTTTGACGTCATAAAGCGCTTAAATCCGTGCGCAGCTCCGGGGATATCTTCCCGTTTGTCTCCTTCGTGGAGAGAGTGAACACGGTCGAGTGATTTCTGACCGAATTCGGGTAGTGCTTGGTCCCGCCGAAACTGGAGCGGCCGTTCACGAGTTCGCTCTCAGCGACGACGTCTCTACGAAAGGCCATCACGAATCGCTTTCTTTTAGCGTTGGTCTTCTGGAAGCACAGGAAGATGTACGGATTTATGGCGCTGTTTGAGGCCGAGATGACTCCGAAGAGAGCCACAAGGTTACGGTCTAAGGACACGTTGGCACCTCCGAAGGCCAGCACCATCTCTTGGACCATGTATGGAACGTTGGTCACCAGAAACGCCGCGAAAACTGCCGCCGTCAATCTGACAGTTTTCACCTGCGAAAAGGAAAAAAAAATAAAGAAATGCCAAAGTTGAACGTGGTTAAACTAAGCTTGTCAAATGATAGCGAGCAGTAGTAACCGCGGAAAGCATGCCGTCGCGGTGTTCCACGCGTCAGCGCTTTAGCGCAACAAGCAGTGACACGCTTTCTGTATTTACCTTCGTGTTGTCGTTCGGTGCAATAGAGTAACTGTAACATGATAAGAGTTTAGATCTTGTGGTGCACGCACCTGCCGGCTTCCATCTTCCGCCGAGCTACAAAGACAATGGTGCGTGGAAGGGCTGTACCGACACTGCGCACGTTCGTTGCTATGACAACTTACGTGCGAGGTGGAAGTGAACGTTGGTCAAGTTTCAAGGTAAAACGCATGCACAAAGTCGTTCTCTTGGTTTGTACAGGGAAGAGTAGAGACATCGACCTGAAAGCTAACGAAAGGACACGATAGTCAAAGTGCCTGGTGGCGCTCGAGTGAAATCTTGTCACCGCTTAAACGCATAGTTTATGCCGCATTCTGGCTCATGCATGCATACACAGGAAACTTTAAAGAGGGCTGCTCATTGTGCTTCAGAGTAGTTTCGGGCCCCTTCGTACCAGAGTTTGCACTTTGTACTAGTTTTACTATGCGTCGCGTTGTTGTCCCGAAGTCCAGCGGAACATCATCAGTATGTTATGCTCTGAGACGTTTATGCTGTAATATCTTCAATAGGCAGTGCAGTTTTGAATTTTCATACATTTTATCAATATTTAATCATGTTTGTACATAAGACGCTGAAAAATGTGCGATTTCTACGTAAATGATCACGGCTCTATTCCATTTATGGTGACAACAAACGTCCGCCTGCGTTCGCATCAATAGCCAGCAGCTTCTCCGAATAAAGGAATGGTAAAAACAAGTAAAAATGCTTAAACTTAAACTGCCCCACCTTTGCCTTTGGCAAGGACGACGCAGTCTGATGACGATTTCTAAACGCCAAGCTCTGGCTCCAGATCTCCAATAGAATGCGACCGTACAGGCCAACCAGAAGCACAAGCGGGAGCACAAACACTGCGAGGAACACGAATGTCATGTACAGTTGGCGAGGCAGCGTCGAGGCAGTCTTGCGCGCGTAGAACAGCGAGGCGCAATATCGTACGCCCGTGTCGGCTTCAACCACCTGGAACACATACAAGTTGGGCAGTGATGGGACCAGCGCTGCGATCCAGGCGGCCGCCGCAAGGCGCCACGGAGCGGGACACCTGGCGAGAGGGTATACAATGGCGAAGTGCCTGTCCAACGCGATGCTCACAATCATGTAGGTGGATGAGGCCAACGCAAACGTCTGCAAGACCTTGAAGACACGACAGAAGGCGTCGCCGGCAATCCAGACGCGGCCCATGACTTCCCAGACAGTCTGAGAAGTCATCGTCACTGTGGTGACTAGAAGGTCGGCTACGGCCAGGTTTAGGAAAAGGACGTGGGCCTTCTGGTAGCGACGCCGGCGGTGGTTGCGCAACAGGCGCCAGCAGACCACGCTGTTGCCCGAGACCGAGAACGCTATCATGATGAGGATGACCGTGATGCGGACGTGACTGTGGTATTGCGGTCCGAGGACTGACTCCGGGTTTGCACCGACGCCGTTGCTTCGGCTGGTCTGGTGGATCGAGAGGCTTGTGGTAGCATTGGCGAGGACATCCGCTATGGCGGCATGGCTGGGGGCCTGTGTGATGCTGTCGGGCATCGCTCAGGTGTTGCTCGAGTCGCCGACCATGAGGACAGCCACTTCAACTGCGTCCTTGGCTTCGGCGTCTTGAACACTTGACGTCAGATGAAGCCCTGTGAGAAGCAAGGAAGGCGATCGAAATGTCACTCAGACAACAGACTTGTCAGCACATAATACACGATTACTTAACCACAAGATTTTTTTCAGTAATCAGTGGAGCTGCACTACCAAGTAGAGTGCTGATTGAAGTCAATCAGAGAAATGATCTTTGCACAATAGATTAAGTCACTAGCTGCGTCTAGGACTAGTTTACTGACTCCTGCATTTTAATTTGAATGATGCAGCATGTTCATATTGTCAGAAAGTGGACGCGTCACATTCGTCCGTCCATCCGTCCGTACATTCATCGTTCCATCCGCCTACATGTTGATGATATCATGGTTGTCTCCTTATTTTGACGCACACCAACATTTCATGGGAGATCATTAGTCTATGAACAGGTCACTTCATGTATAGTGTGAGATATTTGTCGTGTAAGACATGATACCCTTTCCTTGAGCAACGCTTGGTACATGCTCGTACATCACGGCCCATAAAATGCGGGTAAGAGTCGCAGGTGATTCACAGCTTGTATAGACTCAAGAACGGTAATAAAAGGCTTTGAAAAATTTTATTTAATGCATTGATGGAGCCCCGCCCCATATCGACGAGTCATCTCATGCATAGCTGCGAGAGGACTATAGTAAACCGCGTAGTTATCGAGAGGCACGGCGCTCATGTTTTGGAAAACCGGGACCCTCCCTTGTTGTATAAAGAACAGACAAAACATTTTTACCTGGCGAGGAGACAATAAATACCATCACACAGAAAACTAAGCAGACAGCAGCCTTGACACTCAGGCTCCTTCAAATCGAGGCGTATACCCTAACCCCGCGCTATTGCACAAGATTTATGCCGCAATAATGCCAACTAATACAAATACACAGAGCGATTCTGTCAAAGACCCGGTTTGGGTGATGTAGAGGTTGCAACCATCGCGACCAACTAATACATGTTTCTTCTGCAATGACACAGCTAATTTAGAACGCATGCTTCGGCGTTGCCACACGTTACGCAGTGGGAAGGGGCCATTTACCAGCTGCGAACTCGAACTACAGTTATGAGCAGTCAAACTGGCCCGCGACGCAGCACAGATTTTCATTCTTTCATGCTTTTTTTTCTTTTTCCTTCTTCTTCCTTTCTTTCTTACTTTATTTATTTCTTTCCAACTTTCTTGCTTTCTTGCTTGCTTCCTCTTTCTTTCTGTCTTTTTTCTCTCTCCTTGTTTTTCTCCTTTTGATTCTTCCTCTTTCTGCATTTGTTCCTCTCTATTTTTCTCCTGCTGATTGTGTCTATAGTATGCTTACTCTTTGCCATCCTCTTTTTTCTCTTCCTCGATATCACTTCCCTTTTCACACTCTCGTTTGTTCACCAACATCACCTAAATTCACTTCTTTTCGTTCTTTCTATCTTTCTATACCTTTCATTCTTTGCCTTTTTTGAAATGCGAAGCATTTCTTAGCAAACGTTGGTGACTTTGAGCGTATCTATCTATCTATCTATCTATCTATCTATCTATCTATCTATCTATCTATCTATCTATCTATCTATCTATCTATCTATCTATCTATCTATCTATCTATCTATCTATCTATCTATCTATCTATCTATCTATCTATCTATCTATCCTATCTATCTATCTATCTATCTATCTATCTATCTATCTATCTATCTATCTATCTATCTATCTATCTATCTATCTATCTATCTATCTATCTATCTATCTATCTATCTATCTATCTATCTATCTATCTATCTATCTATCTATCTATCTATCTATCTATCTATCTATCTATCTATCTATCTATCTATCTATCTATCTATCTATCTATCTATCTATCTATCTATCTATCTATCTATCTATCTATCTGGTTACGTTTGAGTGCCCTTGTGGCCACCCCCTTAACTTGACGGGAACCAAAATTAGCATGGGAGGGTAAGATGGTTTGACGAACATGACGCGCTGGTCTAGACATTAATAATCTGACAATCCAGTCGCATACGTCGTCAAACACTTCCCGTCAGACAGCGGCACATATCCACGGGCTGGTATGTGCTGCTGGTATGCGGGTAGGTGCCACAGGTCACTGGCACTTAGTATCTACGTAGAAATGACGAGAACACACATGGGCAATTTAACCCGATATCAATAGCACCGACCCAACAATGGTATAAAATAAATTTCAGTGTTAAGCGAAACCTAACATAGGCAGCATCGACCCCCCGACAAATAATAAATTTAAGGGTTCCAACAGAAAATGAATCCAAGCAATTTGCGTGGCAGTCAAGCATTCTACCGCAGAGCAATGCTAGGTCCCATAACTACTTTTCAAATAGACGCTAATCTTCGTGAAACGTCACTGGTGGTTGTAGTGCTGCTTACATAATTTTACAAAAATTACATATGCACTCCTTTGATACAGCCGTCACGTCGGGTTAATGTCGGTGGTAGTTAGGTGCCGTGCGCTGAAGCTGATTTATGTAGCAGTGTCCAGGGCCAGTATCTTCGCGAGAATCAGCGCTTCACATCAGCTTCTGGTGTTGCTAATACGAATTTTCCGGTTGACATCGTTGCGCAAGTGTGAACAAGTGATTATATAAACATATGCAACTATTCAACATATGTCAATGCGTACAACATTTGTACATATAGTTAGCGTCATTTCACGACGTGTCGCACAATAATAAAAAAAAAAAAACGCTACTAGGTCACCTTCCCTCCGCATGCTTCGCATAACGTCGATTCCCACGTACGTGAGTTATGCCGAATTTTTTCTTTCTCTTTCTCGCTTGCTTCCTTTCTATGCATATCTTTATCTCTCTTTCTATTCTTTCCCTCCTTCTTTCTTTGATATTTTCTCTTTCTCTTTTTTTCTTTCTCTATATCCCTCTCTATGTCATTCTCTTTATGCTATGCTCCACTCTTACTACCCCCTTTCCTTTCTCTTTCGCTTCCCATCTCTCCTCCTCACTCTCAGAGCTCGATGGCTGACCCGCAGTCTCGGGGCCGAGTTCCGACCGCAGCGGCCGCATCTTTGGTAGAAGCAATAATGCCCGTGGCCCGTGTACTCAGATTTGTGTACGTTAAAGCACACCAGGTGGTCGAAATTTCCGGAGCCCTCCACGACGGCGCCTCTCAATGTGGTTTTGGGACGCTAAACCCAAGTAGCAATAATAATAATAATAATAATAATAATAATAATAATAATAATAATAATAATAATAATAATAATAATAATAATAATAATAATAATAATAATAATAATAATAATAATAATAATAATAATAATCATAATAATAATAATAATAATAATAATAATTATTTCCACGTTTGATGAGGCATCTAATCCTTTCGCATTAAAATACAAACAGAAATCGGAACCTTCTTACGCATTGTTCATGGAAAGGTGATATGAGCGCATGTACGGCCATCATTCCTAAGATTTGTACTGCAAGTAATGACATCTTATTAAAAAAAGGTGAACAAAAATTTTACTGATCTCCTGTCACAGGCAGTGCTCATCTAATAATAGGCCTTTGCTATCCTCTCATTGACCATCACTTCAACATTTTTTCTTAGCGACCACGAGAGGCCTTTCGGTTAGGACATACGCTATTTCGCTCAAACCGTTTGTGTACGTCAGCGTGACTACAGCATTGCAAAAAAGCTAAACAAAGAAAGAAGGGGGCAATTCCCTATTGTGTGATACGTATTGTGTGAAACATAGCAATTCCGCTTTGTGTGAAAAATAGGAGCATGATACTCATGCTCCTATTATTATTATTATTATTATTATTCAGAATACCCCTAAGGGCCCTCTCACAGGAGGGTATTACATAGGGGGGGGGGGCTATAACACATACAGGTACATGAAATGATTAATAGAACCAGAAAACACGCAAACTAAACACCATACAGCTACTAAATACATTAGAATAAATATAAGGTCAATATTCTTACCGCATAATCTTAAATAATCAGAAGAAATAATATGAGTCAAACAATAATAAAACTAAAAAAATATTTTAAAATTGAACTACACAAAGAAGGAAATAGAGTCACAACAGTACAATAAAACGCAATCGAGCTTACTACAAGCACACGCGCCATTAAGCATAAAGGAATGGCAACATCACCAAAAACACGTGTGAATAACTGAATTAGGCAAACACAGCAATAAATAACACGAACCATGAACATACGCAGTTCCTACAAAAAACACGGTTTGCAGAAAAAAGAAAAAAGAGGGGGAATACTGCAAAAGGTTCACACGCTTGCACTCATGTTTAGTAGGTTCTGAAGTTCAGTGATATCGGTGACGGTTGCAATGTTTGAAGGTAAGTCATTCCACTCGGTTATTGAGCGCGGTATGAAGGATCTAGCATAATGAAAAGTGCGACAAGGGAAGCGTTCGATTTTAAAGGGATGATCGCGGCGCGGAAAGATGGCAGGGGGTGGCCTAAAGAAGTCCTCGTGAAGTGATGTGTGATGGTAGAGCTTATGAAGTAGTGATAAGCGAGCAATTTTACGGCGACGTGATAAGAGTTCCAGTTCGGCACGAAGTTTCAATGAAGTGACGCTGGTGTGACGTGAATAATCAGAAAAAATAAAACGTACAGCACGGTTCTGCAGGGCTTCGATGTTTTCAATAATGTAGTCTTGATCGGGATCCCGCATGGCTGACGCATATTCTATTTTAGGACGGATTAGGGTGATATAAGCCAGTTTACGCAAGTGCGAGGGGGTGTGTTTCAAATTACGTTTAAGGAACCCGAGTGAGCGATTTGCTGAAGCAAGGGTGACGTTAATGTGGTGATGCCATGACAGGTCAGACTGAATGTTAACCCCAAGGTATTTATAAGAATTCGTAAGCTCCACTGAAGTATTATTTAGTAAGTAAGACGTTGGAATACGGGACGCTTTTTTTAGTAAAACACATTAGCTTAGTCTTTGAAGGATTTAGTGTCATTTGCCATGC